TTGGAATTCGTATTTAATTCGGAATCGTATTGTCGATCAAATTTCCTTTTATGGTAATACGACCACATGTATGGTTCTGACCTTTATAAGGTAAATGTTAATATTGACAAGATAGGCCCAAAATTTTGGTTTCCGATTAGGTAGTAGAAGTGTGTTGCCCAGAACTGGTGGAGTCATATTAGCTAAATTATTAAACCATTTGGATATTGGATCCTTAATGATATATCCTTTATGGATATGGAATTCTTTTCATGTTAGTTTTGATGAACTATTAAATATTATTATATTGTAAAGAATTTTAATATTTGAAAGATGAAGAATTAGAAATGTGTTTTTGTTTAGTTTGGCGATTCAACTGATTGAAAGTTCATAGTTTTCTATACTAAATGGGCAGGGGGAGGGGCAGATATTAATTTTGTATTTTTTAGCTATTCTTGCTATGAGAGTTAATCATGATTTCATGAAAATTTGTGGTTGACAAATTGGATATGATCAAATGGTGTAAGAAGCTTGAATTGATCAGATTTTCTGAACCGTTGTTTGATAAGTTATTGAATTGGCAAGTTTTGAGGTTAAGAGTTTTATTGCCACGATATCTTTCTTGTTTTAGAGTTTTACTATATCGAGATCTGCTTTTGAATAGAGGATTTTATTTGAGATTGTTCGCTCCATTCCTAGTTTTGTCTTAATTGCTCTATTAAATTTGAATTGAAGAAAGTTGACTTCATTATTTGTTGGGATAAAGATTTGAGTAGCATATTCTAATTAATTGGACTGGGATTATCCAATGGAAAACTTGTTTTGTGATCGAACCATTTTAGGTTTTTTGTATTGCAATTGCTTTTGTAAAATCTAAGACTTTTTCTTGTAACTTTTGTTTTGTTGCCAGTAGTAAGGATTTTCCTAAGAGAAATATGCCAAGATATTTTATTGCTTTGTTATATAGTTTAGACTAAATGTGTTCATCTTCAACTATTAAAGATTGTCTCCTGTTTGGATGTAATGGCTTGAGATTTGTGATGAGGTCCATTTTTTTTTTTGTTACATTTGATATAATTTAGTTTTAGAAAAGAATAAAATATGTTGGTTACTTCTTGAAGGTGGGGTAGGCTACAGCTTGAAAGAATTACGTCATTTATATAAGAAAGAATTCTAGTTTTTTCAAACAGTTTACTTGAAATTTTGGAAACCATTGGATCATAGAAGATTGTTCACAAGAGAAGGGTGAGTGTTTCTCCTTAATCTATTCCATTGTTGATTATAATTGAATCTGTTAGTTTGTAATAAGTAATTATACTGAGTTTTTTATTCTGTAAAAGGTTTAAGATGAGAGCAGTCATTTGTTGGGAACTTTTATATATTTTATTGTGGCCTCCAGGCTGTTTAGGTTTACAAAGTCAAAGGCTTTTGAGATATAAAAAAGGCAACCCAATGCTCTTTGTTGAAATTGTTAGCAGTTTCTAATTCAGAAAATATAATAGAGAAAGGCTTCATAGTATTTTGGTTTTTGAGATCTGCAAAGGAGTTAATTGAAAGAATTTTCTTTCTACAGATGATATTTAACATCCTGTTGTTAATTATTTTTGTGAAAATTTTCCTGCTGATTTCGATTAAGAAAATTGGTCAAGTGTCTGTGAGTTCATGGGACTAGACAATTTTTTGGGACAATAATATAACTACAGAGCATTTCCAGTGGATTGGAGAACTGCTGGAACTGAGGACTTGATTAAAAAGATTCTTAATTATGTTTCTTGCATTTGGGCCCAAATTGATCCAAGCTTCGTATAGAATTAAAGTTAAACCAGATGACTTTTGTTTTGGGAGCTTGGATAGGACATTATCAATTTCTTTGAGAGTAATTTCAGAAGTAATTTCATCAAAAGTGTTGTCATAAATAAGGACTTTTGGCATATATTCTTGACTTCAAGTTTGATTGAGAGTAAATGGTTTTGGTTTGAGAATGTTTTTGAAGTGATTGGTTATGATTTCGGTAAGTATTTCAGAATCATCATGTAATTCTTCCCATTTGAGAGAATTGAGAGGTTTAGAAAAGGTTTGAGATTTTCCAGGGCCTTCTTTATTGCTGCTTTGGGTTTTTCCCAGAATTTGTAATAGTTTTTCTTTATTTGTTCTTTAATTTCTTCTATGGCCAGTTTCCTAGCCTTTGACAATTTTTCATTGAATAGAATTTTAAAGATTTTTCTTAAGGTTTTGACAGTTAGCAGGTGGTTAATAATTTTGTTAAAAATTGTTGTAACAAGATGTGATAGTTTGTTAATTGGTTTATTTCTCTGGAGATTTGTTATTGCTCTTTTTGTTGCCTTGATTGCAGTGTTATAGTGGAGAAAGACTTTTCCTAGTGTAGTTGATACTGTTTATTTTTTTGATGGTATATTGTTCTTTATTGCATTTTTAATTATTAGATTCATTTTTTTTCAGGATAATATATTAACTCTTGAGCAGGTGAGTTCAATGAATTCTCGCATTGAATCTACTTGTTCTCTTGTGGCTTTATTGAATTGAAAAGTTTTGATAGAGAAGGAGATTTGGCTGGGCTCGTATTCGAACCAGTCCAGAATTACTGTGATTATTTTGTGATCTGAAGGGATGAAAGTTTGATCGGTAGCTTTGTAACTCAGGATTTTACTAGCTAAGTTTGTTAATATCCAGGTTTGGTCTATTCTGGAAGCACTTGTGCCTGTGATATGTGTGTAGATATGCTCTTTGTTGATGGCTTTGCCTATGTTCACTATATTTGATAATAATTTGTATATGGATTGTTTGTGAGGTAGTATTTAAACGTTGATTGATAGTAACCCTTTAGGATAAGAGTTGAAATCTCCTGTAATTATAAAATGTTTGTGCAATTTAACTTCATGAATTGCTTTAGTGAGTGGGTGGTACATATTCTGTTTGTTTTGTCATGAGGCATGTATATGGATATGATTATAATATCAGTTTTGAGCTTGAACTTCAGATGGGTTATGCATCAGTACTTGTTCTCAGTAAAAGTATTGAAAATGTGACTTGATATTTCTTTGATGAAGATTATACATGTGCCACTGCTGACAAAAAGATTTGGTTTACTCATGATAATTATCTTGTTATTTGATTTTGCTTGGGAGTGGATTGCTGACTGTGGCTTTCATTTCTATATAGCAAAAAATTGTTCTCTTGTTTTTGATAGATTTGACAATTTCATTAAGTTTTTCTATTTGATTTAGGTTTTTTAAATTAAGTATAGATATTGTGAGAAGGTTTTTAATATTTGTAGGTGGGTTTGGATAAAAGGGGTATTTGTAAGTGAGTGTATAAAGTTAGATTGATTCATTTGAGACATTATTAAAAGAGGCAAGAAAAGAGAGTCAGTCCTGGATCAGTTGATTCATTTTTAATAATAAATTCTGATAGAAAGTTGTTAAAGTAAAAGTAGTTCTTGAGCAGTTTAATAGTACTGAATAGATACTGATCTTTAATTAGTGGTTGAGTTATATTAATATCAAGTTTTTTGAAGTATTTATTTGCTTCAGTTATTGATGATAAATTTGGGAGAATTGATAGGATTCATTTACATGGAATTGAGTCTTGATAGATATTTTTGATTTTTTTAATTGTTTGTGAAAAGGTAGGTGAGTTTCTGTGAAGGTGTTTATCAGTAATATTAAGTTAATCTTTAAGAATATCTTTGTTATCTGGGATGAGGGGTCTTTTATCTTAAATTAGGTTTTCTTGGATCCATTCTGATCCTAGTAGTAGCTTGAAAAAAAATTTTTACTTAAGTGATTGGATAAGGTTTTTGACCTCTCCTTGGAATTGAATTGGGAGAGAGATAGCATTGTTTTCGCTATACCAATGAGCTGGTGGGAGTAGACATTTAACTTGAATATAATCTAAAGAAAAATGCTTGATTGCAAAGTTATTCAATCAAAGAAGTTCTACTACTGAGTGAATGGCATCAGAATTGTTTTCCACTGGAAAGTGGTGGGCTAATTTGAAGAGCAAGTCCATGTAAGATGAGAGTAGTGTTTCCTTTGGTGGTGGGAGTCTAAAGTATAAGTCAGATAATTTTGCAAGAACATAATAATACTCTTTCAGTTAGTTGATAAGCTTTCTAAGATTTTTGAGATTATTTTGTTTGATTAGAGGAAATAATGATTTAATCTCAGGTTTGAGATCTGTGGGGTCATCCAGGATGGTTGGCCTTTGTACAAAGAATGAGATGGAAAGCCAATCAAAGTTATAGTATGCTCTGAGGCTGCTGACCACATCGGCTATATGTTTGGAGGAGATAATAGGAATAGCATATGGAAGTTTAATTTTAATTGAGGCAGGAACAAGATCAGGTAAGGTGGATAGCTAAGAGAGTTTATTTTTGATGGCTTCCTTACATTTGAGAAACAAGGTTTGGTAATAGAGTTTTTCAGATGTTGAATTGATAAAGTAATTAAAGCCATACTCGAAAAGCTGGGCAGTTTGCCAATATTTGAGAAAAGTGAGATCTGTGGATTTTAAGTATGTGATAAAAAGAACTTTGTTGATAATAACTTTGATTTTTTTTTTTGGTTGTCCTGTTGATATAACTGATATTGTTAGCTTTTAAGTAGTTGTCATGAAATCCTTTTTCTATTCTTTTGTATTCAATTTGATATTTATCCTTCAGGAAAGCTTCTTTGGCAAAAGTTCTGAAGAAATTGTGATCTCTGTATCCAATTTTTGTTATTATAGCTTTGGTTGTTGGTTTAATGTCAAAGGGTTTCTCTTTTTTGATGTTGAGAAACTATTGGATTATTGTATCAATATCTTTTTCACATTTATCAACTTCTCTGCAGAGTTCCAGAATTTTGAAGTGCTCCTCAAGAGGGTTGATTTTTCTAATGTCTTCTTCAATTGTTGATGGTATGTTGAATCTGATGAGGGATTGGTTTTCATTGACTTCATCTGCCCAGGAGATGGTGGCTGTGGTTGGTGTTGGGTCTTGTTGTACTGTAACTGTGGTTGGTGTTGGATCTTGTTGTAATGTAACTGTGGCTAGAGTTATACATGTGATGGAATTGAATTCTACCATTTTTTAAAAACTGTATTATGGTAGAATTACTAAGTAACATATAGTAAATAATTGGAATTCATATTTAATTCAGAATCGTATTGTCGATC